CCGGCCCCATTCCCGAGCCTGTCCCGTTCCCGAGCCTGTCCCGTTCCCGAGCGCGCCCCGTTCCCGAGCCTGCCCCCTCCCGAGCTCAGCCGTCCCCCGTTACCACCAAGCGATGCCGGGGCTCCTCTGCGGCTCTGCCCGTGACAGCTGGATGGATGTGCCTCCTGCGCCTCCTTACAGGGACGAAAACTCTGTGTTATCACTGAACTCGAGATGCTGGCACGGGTCTTGGGAGAAGACACTGCGTTTGGCCTGTGAGACATGGAAAAGTAGTTCACTTGTAATCCAAATAAACGTAGTCTTCTCCATCTCTGTGTTTCTGTGAGCACGGTGCTTTCCCAGCCCGTTTTGCCGTTAGTTTTCTGTGAAACTGTGCAAGCACGAGGTGCCATGAGGCATTTTCAGAGTAGAGGAAGGTGACATACTGAGAATCAGGAAAGTGACATAGCAGGGTTGTCCCAGGTAAGAATTGCTTAGTGAAAAGCACTAAACACACCTTGACTGAGGCACTGAACCCTTGTCCTACTGCTTTTAGCCTCCCAAAATCCATTTATGTTAATTTCACAACCACAGAGGGCTGAGCTGCAAGCATCAGCTGATGTTGCCACAGTGACCTGTGAGCTTCTCTGTGACTATATATGTTACATTTTAGTTTTAGATTGCCTGTGTAGTTAGCATGTCTGTGTTTGGCATGTGCTTATTAAAGCTGTTTTTTGGGAAAAAACAGTCTGACTTTTCTCAACTTTTTTCTTTATAGAATATTGAATACATGTTTGGCATTGTTGGTATTCCAGTCACTGAAATTGCAATTGCAGCCCAGGCAGCTGGAATAAAATATGTGGGAATGAGAAATGAGCAAGCTGTAAGTATATATCTGTAATGGGACCAACCCTTTCCTTAACTGTTTCACAATGGAATGAAACCCAGTTTAAGTTTTCTTACTAGAAAGAATGTGGTCTCTGAATTTTCCTTTAAAGAATCTATACAGTAGGAGCCACTGTTATTTTGGAATAATTGAGAACATTGGTGCATTGGGTTGAGTGTTTCTTTGTGCCCTTCTTTTCCCACTTCCATTTTAAAGTGGCCTCTTCTTTTCTGTTAAGGAAATTGCATCTTCTTTCATTTAAAAATGCTATTCTCCAATAAGGGAGCAAGGATAGGAGAGAGGAAAAAAAAATTTAAAGACAGCATATGATGGACAACAAAAAAAAATATAAAAAGTTATCTCCTTCAAGTGATATACTGTCAGATATTATCTGCCAGGTATTGAGATGCTCATCCAGGGCTTTTTTTTTTTATGTAGCTTTCTACAAACTTCCCAATACTATCATTCTTACTCTAACTGGTAGTATTTTAGTTCTTTTTAGGACTTTATTGCCAGCTCCTTTACTTTTTTCCCCCCTGTCTATATCGTGTTCTTAAATGCCCAAAGAGGAAGGTTTTCCTGTTGTTGATAAACTTGTTCTGACAATTTAAATAATTCTAGGGTTTTTTTTCCTTAACTGTGTTTTAAAAGCTCAGCAAACAGCAAACCATAGAAAGTAATACTGCTTCCAAGTGCTCAAAATCAACCATGAACATACACTTAGACTCTCTTATTTATATATATTCAGCTTTATTGTGTAGGTGTCAGAAATGAAAGAGCCAAGCTCCTCAGCATTTTGGTGCTGTGCTGCTAATTCTGCATTTGTTTGCTTTCCCACAGTAGTAACTCTTTAAATCTCAGTAATTTCTTGGGTAATTTCAGATTGAAGATAACCTTGGGATTATTTGTTGTTTTGAAGGGTTGCTGCACAAGATGGGGAGCTGGCTGCCGAACTGGTGGCTGAGGGACCAGCAGGTTCCCATCCATACCTGGCCTACAGCAGTTGCCAGTTTTCCTTAACTTACTTAGTTCATAATCTTTAGGATTGTCCCAGTCCTCAACACAGTCTTGTTACAGTGCTTCTTCTAAATCAGGTTGTTGTGAGCTGTATGTTTTTCATTGTTGTGAGCTGTATGTTTTTCATTGTTGTGAGCTGTATGTTTTTCATTGTTCCATTGGAATGTGAGACTATAGAGCAATGCATGTCTCTGTGGAAAATCTGTAACATATGAGCGAGGCAAACATAGACAAACATATTTAAAAGGTGTATTTGAATCTTTGAACAACTGGGAATTCAGCACAATCTTTATGTTCCTCTAGGCCATTTAGCAAATATTCTAGTTTTAGCTGTGGTTACTAACATGATTAAAATTAATTTCCTCAGGTATCTATAATTACCAGAGAAGATTGCTTTGCACTGCCAAACAAGATGCTGTTCTATTTATTAGTCTTTACTAGATGATTTATGATTTAATTATGAGCTGCTTTTGTCGTAGAATAAAAACAGCACAAAAAGACTGTTTTAAGGTTAAAATGTCAGGATTTCTCTTCTTTGGGGAGTTGAAAAGGATGAATGGAGATACATCTTGTAGTGAGTTTTGGTTTGTTCTTTATCCCCAGTGAATAATAGAGTAATTTCTTGGCAAAGGGTGAAAGGTTATGTATAGTATATTCAAGATACACTCAATATATACATGTCATAGTTTTAAATGTCTCAGTTGTGTGGTCTGGCTGTGGAGGATGTGTACACAGCTGCCTCCTTTATTGGTGAAGGCAGCTGTAAATGATATATGGAAAATGAAGGGATTTTTTTTTCCAGGTGTTGAGTTTCTACCTCATTTCTAGGCCAGATGTAGCAAAAGGATTTCCCTGTAAAAGTGATAACATTTTAATTAGCAGTGTTCATAGGAAATAGGGCCAATAAACAAGTTCAAACACAATAAAATCTCATGGTGAGATAATTATCAAGCAGCATACTTGTTGGTTGGCATCCTTATGTTCTTATTCTGCCCAGGATGGTGGTGGAGTCACCATCCCTGGAGGTGTTCAAAAACGACTGCATGAGGCACTGAGGGCCATACTCTGGTTCACAAGGTGGTGATAGGTCACAGGTTGGACTCAGTGATCTTGGAGGTCTTTTCCAACGTTAATAATTGTGTGAAGAACTCATAAAACTGCAGAATAGGAACACCTGATGAAAGCATGGAGCTAAAAGTAGCAGTGCCAATACCCACAAGCCATTCTCCTGTGGCCTGTAACATGGTGTAAGTTTGCCAGAAGCAGTTCACCTGCATCCACCTGCCCTTTGAACAGTGAAAACTGTGTTGCAACTTCACAGGGGCGTGTGTTTTTTGTATCTCTCCTTGGGTAATTAGAGATTGTTGCAGTTGTTTACGAGACTGATAACCCAGCTCAGTTCTAAACTTCAAAACCCCCTTTACTATATGTTTATTTGTTAACAAAACACATTATTTGTGTTAATTCTTACTCTTTAATAATAATTATCACTACGTATTCAAAGCAATCTCCTGATATTTGTATCCTTAGTTGTGAGCATGTAATATGCTGGTGTTGGTGCAGCTGTGAAGGGAATTGGGCTCAAAGAACCCTTTAATATTGGCAGCTGGAACCAAAGTGGGCATCTTATCACCAGAGTACTCAATTATAACTAAAATCAAATCTCCAGTCTATTTAAAAATGAAAGAGGCAGGTTCTAAGGCCAGAAGCTTACTTTAAAAAATTACAAAATATTGCAAAAGGAGGGGGTTTTTTTTCCATTAAGTGTTAGAACTCACTGATTTCAAGACAGGAGTATGAAAATATGAGAGACTGGGCAATGTCACATGTGAATTCTTGAGTTCTGTTGTCACCTGTAAACTTCTTGATCACAGGCTGTCATTTTACCAGGTGAAATTTGTATGCAAATGTTTAATATCACTACAGGAATAGCTTAAAAACATACTCTGCAATAACACTGCTGATAAGCTGTGCCAACACATGTTGTATATGTTGCTTTTGTAATTGTTATTCAAAACATAATTTTTCTTTAAATGTGTGATACCAAGCAGAGTGAGAAGTATTTCAGCAGCTCAGCTTATAAAAGATGATCCCAAATCATCTAATTATTGTCTCCAATGTGAGATTTCAACCTTTTGCTTGATTTCTGAAATACAATTCAGAATAGCTGCATTTCTGCTTGTTGTCTTTCTCTTGCAAGTCCCTCTTCCATGTCCATTCTGAAGGCAGTGGAAAGCAGAAGTTTCATGTTTTGTTCTATTTATTTTTTTCCCTTGGTTTTA